CAAATAGTCAATGCATTTCAATCCATCATCACCTCTCACCTGGACCACTGCAATTGCCTTATAATTGGACTCCTTGACTACTGTCTCTCTCCACTCTGATCCATCCTTCACATAGCTGCAAAGAGATTTTCCTAAAGCCAAATCTGACCATGGCAAATCAGTAAACTCCAATAGCTCCCTTTTTCTTCTAGGATTCAATAAAAAGTCCACTGTTTGGCATTTAAACCTTTTCATAACCTGGTCTCTTCCTGTCATTCCAGTTGATTTATACGTTATTCTTTGCCACATACTCTGCAGTCCAGCTACATCTGCCTACTTGCCAATCCTCACACGATACTGTCTCTCCTTTCTCTGTGCCTCCACACTGGTTATACTTCATCTTTGGAATGCTCTCTCTCTTAGAATCCCTGGCTCAAACACTATCTTCTGAGCCCCAGCCCGGATGCTAGTGTCTTCCCCACCAAGGTTACATTCCATCTGCTTGGTATGTGTAAGTACTGTGTGTGTGTGTGTGTGTGTGTGTGTGTGTGTGTGTGTGTGTGTGTGTGTGTGTGTAAAAATATACAAAATCTCATCAGCATAGTCTGTATGAGCAATATTCCACAAACTACAACTGTACTTGAGCTTTTTAGCTCTCCAATTCCACAAATAGTATTTAGGAGAGCTAATACCACTTTGATAGGGCCAAGATATCCAGTGAGTAGGAAGGCACCCTGGCTTATCTCCAGCTCAGATCTAAGAAGACTGAGGAAACATTGTTTGGCAGATGAACCTACATAATCCCAGCTATGTAACACAAAAACTGGGTTCTTTTACTCTTTTCAATGACCATCCTGGAAAGCTGATCTTGTCTTAATGAATCCTTTGGGAATGCTCTAAACGCAGGCATTATGAAAGGGATTTTAAGTTCAGCTGGAAGCAACATAGTTAGTTTTTCCCCCCTTTCAGTTAACTATAACCCCATATTGGGACTTTTGCAAAACTGACCCGTTGCTTCACATTGCCCAATTTTCCTCCTTTACCCATAAATAATTTCACAAGATTTCAAGCAAATTTGGTACTGAAAGCCCTCAATCATAATACAATTAAGATACCAATAACTCTCAGGAGAGTGAGCCAACACCAAAATGTATTTTTCAATACTACTCTGATAGACTTAGAGTGAGTAAGATAAGGTACTTTAAATTAGGTTTTACTCACTGAACACAAAGCAAGTAGTCACTCTAGTTTAGGCACAAACATATGTAATAGATTAAGTTAAATTTTAGCTGGATGCTGAAAATGTTTTCCCAAGATTTTATTTGCCCATCAACACTTACCTTTTGCATTCAAAGTCCAGCAAGACTAATTAAGCTAGTTGGGGATGAAGCCAAGATCTGGGGGCCACTTTCTTCTGTTCTGTTTCAGAGCCACAGCCTACCTGCCATATGCCAAGGTGGACTAGGTTAAAGCAATACAAATCCATTCCAACCACTGGAGAAATAATAAAACCCAATACACATAAAATTACCACCATTAGTCACTCCCTTGGAGCTATTGGACAAGTTAAAATGCAAATGTCACGCCGGAGTAATAAACCATTGACTCATCATTCCTATTATAAGGGATTAGTAGATCTGATAAACTAGTTTTCACTAAGGGATCCCCGGGAAAGGAATCAATCCAGTACTAACCTGAATTGCTCTGAAGTGGGAAGGCAAAGAACCGAGAAGACACTGGGAAGCCCAGATGGGTTAGAGAACTGAAAGGGCTGTTTAAGGATACACTGGGTCTTGCAGGAGGAGGTGGGGAGGGGCACATCTGCAGTCAATGAAGATAAATTCCAGCATGCCAATTTTGCTGGGGCATTATCTTCCCATATAAGGGATAAGCACAATTACTTGATTCAAAATCATGCTGGATTTGCTACACCTGCCTAGCAAAACATTTAAGGCTGCATTGCTATCTCAAACTAAAGAGAATTTCTTAATAGATGACTTTGACTCAAATTCTACCTTCTATAGAAAAGGACTTGGTGTAAGAGAACATGGGACTTAGAATCAGGAAGACTCATCTTCATGAGTTCAAATCTAGCCTCAGATACTTACTAGCTGTGTGACCCTGGGCAAGTCACTTAACCCTGTGAGCCTCAGTTTCCTCATCTGTAAAGTGAAGTGGAGAAGGAAATGGCAAACCACTCCAGTATCTTTGCCAAGAAAACCCCCCAAACAGGGGTCACTAAGAGTCAGACACAACTGAAAATGACTAAACAACAATAGAGTATTTAATAGTAATTTAATGATAAGGTAAGCTTTCCTCAATTCCTGGTCCCACCGGATAATCAATTAGGTAGCACTTGCTTCAAAACACTTGTAAAAATAATTTTTCATCTCCTCTATAAAATATTTGATTTTGCTATGGAAATCAATGGCTTAAAAATTAAAAAATGAAAGCCAGATGGATCAACCAGTGAATGGTTTCTTCTTCCTTGCATCTTTTCCATTCTTCGCTTCTTTCTTACATTTCACAATCATCCTTACTTCTATTTCATCAAGGAACCTAGAAACGTTTAGTAAAGATCTCTTACACTTGGCTCCACTCCCCACCCCTGCTTATCTATAATATGCAAAACAGCTGTCACCAGGGGTAATTGTAGAAGCATTCTATAACTCTTCATGTACATTTTATTAGAGAATTTTCTACTGCTTTTTTAATTTAGTTTTATGCAATTCCATTATGTATTATACATAACTACAGGCTACATACCAAAGACTGACCAGCAGGTGGCATGAACATCTAAGTTAATAAAGCCATGAGTTTTCCTGCACAGGCCAACAGAAGATTAAATGCTCAAACCACTAATCCACAGAAAAGCCCTAAGGCATCTAGACACCCTTTCAAAACCAAAATAATTGCACTATCACATAAGAAAACATCAGCAACTTTAAAATAAAAGCATTAGCAACTTTTTTTTTCAAATTCAAAATTTTTAGGGATAGCTTTTTAAAATATCACCCTCATTTCCAAAATATCCCTCTTCTTTCCCCTACATTAGCAACTTTTAAAAATGAAATGTTTGAATAATTCTCATAGGTTAAATCCAAAACATGTGAGTCTTCTCAAAAGGCCATGTAATTCCTGATTCTTCCCCAAACACATAAATCCTATTGTTTTGTCTTCCATTTCCCCCCTTCATCTTTTAAAAATTTTCTCTCCCAAAGCATTTCAGTGACTGAACTTAAAAATCACAGCAGCAAGCACGCCTAGGACCACCAGGCTCAATGAATACACTAGGTGTCCTAGGCCAAAGTTTGTTATTAGTTAAATGTGTTTTTCATAGAGCCTGATGAAAGATTGCACGTCTGGCACCTAAGCTAAGTTCAAAGAGGTTCATCCTCGGAAAGTTAGCTATGATGATGATTTTATTCATCTAATCCTACCCCGACCCTCAGCTGTGGTACTGAGGGGTCTACCTGCAATGAGAGTCTGATGAAATCACAGACTGAGGTATTATCTTTAAAAGTTACTTTGAGCCCCATGCAAGAATAGCATTAGTCTTCTGGCTAAATATTTCCATCTAACTGTTGTATTTCAACTGGTGTGTCCTACTCTAAGCAAAGGACTCTACAATCTGGCTCCAAAATGTATGACTCCAAGTGTGGTCTTTTTTTTTTCCCCCATATTCCTACAAATAAACATCTGTTCCCTACATTTGGACCACTGCCTAGAGGTTTAGCAATAACTTGCCCTCACACATTTGGTGGCCTGATAAATCTCAGAACCATGTAGTCAATATCTGAAACACTTCATTCTGTGTTTGCCTTTCCTGGACTGCTACTATATGACTTAAAGAATAAAAAGAGAAGAAGCTGGAAAAGACATTTGTATTACAAATACAGTATACTAGCCTACCCCTAAAAATACTAATATATGTAGTCATTTCTTCCCCCCTCCTACTTTACCAGATACATAAGCATTTTGTGGTCAAACCTCAGCTTATAAAACTGCAGCAGAATGAAGTCGGGAACTCAGTGATCCAAAATCAGCCTTTCAGAAACCTATATTAGGATTTTATTTATTTTTCTTATGCAAAATAGTTCCAAGGAAAGTGAAGTCACGGCTTAAGTTCCATATTCTCAGTTCTTAGAGGAGATCTAATTTTAAAAGGGAAGCTTTTCTACCTTAGCACATAAGCTCACCCTTGCCTGGCACTGAATGCTAAACTGTCTCTGATTTGGCACTATGAAACCAAAATACCGGAATTGCATTTTCATTTGACTATTGCAATAGGAGGAAGCACCAGTCAAAAACAGTGAGAGTTATTAATACACAGAAAACCACAATAGTTCAATTTATGCTGAGGCTTCAAGCACTGAATAGCATGAAATCTGAACTAACAGATATACACACAATGTTCTGCTTTCTCCAGCCCCTCCTCTCCAACCAGACAATACCAATAGATCAATTAACAGTTTTCTAAGGTGAATGCTTGTTGCATAAGTGAATAAATTATTTACATGAATTAAGTAAGAACAGGTTAGCCCAAATATGCTATATTTGAGTAACAAAATGTTATAGTTTGTATTGCTACCTGGAACCAAAGCCAGTTTCTTGATTGGCAGGCTGGATCCAAGTACTACTCTCTATAGAAAGGGACCTGGCATATAAGGCCGGTCCCAACATGAACTTTATCCAAAGGGCTTACTACTGGAAATGCCAGAAAGATTTTGTAATAACACTGTCTCACTTATAACACAGTCCTGTAGAACTAATGCCAAAGACAGCATCATTAAGAGATTCTGATGGGATTAAGGACAAATGGTAAATGTAAATACATATCTTACTTTAAAAGGTCTTCAAACTTAAAACCGAAAAAACACAAAGCATAAAGTAGATGCTCTTCAGTCTCCCGATCCACAAAATAGAACTCTTAAGCTTTAAAATACAAGTCACAATAATTTTAATTTTTTTTAAAAAGCATTAACACTGTACCCTCCCCCTCCTCCATTCCTTCTCTCCTTTCTCCCTCTCTGGGCTAACTCCATGCCAGAACCCATTCCAGACAGCTATTTTCCCTCCTTGCCTTCCGTCTTGACTAGGACTTCATGTTTGCTCACAAGACTTGGATGAGATGGGAGTCAACATTCATGGACCACCAGACCTTCCCACCATCTGCTCTGCCTCTACACCCCCATATCCCCCATTACTGTCACCTGCATCTACTTCTATAACATAACCTAAGGACCAAAGGTGCTTGCCATTCACCCATTCATTCAAAGTCAAAACGTATATACAAACTACCCTTTAACTCTGAGGACTTTTGAGTCTTTCCACATGCTTCACATCCAAATTCTTTTACATGTTATCTCCCTTAATTAAAATGGGAGCTCCTTAAGAACAGGGACTATCTCAATATTTTTATTGATATCTTCAGCACTTATCACAGTACTTGGCACATTTTTAAACATTTAAATGCTTTTTCATTCATCCATTCCTTTACATTATGTATAAAATACAATTCCTATCCCCTTGGAGCTTACAATTAAAAGAAGAAAATTAAATAAATGAATGGATCCCTGGGAGAAGGGAAGGAGAGCAGATGTAGAGGGGAAATTAGGCAATGTGAAAACAAAAGGCCCTGGTAAAAATTTATTTTAAAAAGGAAAGAAAAAATGAGGTATGAGAATGAATACACAAACACACAACTCAACATTTACAAGATAAAAACCACACTGTTGTTCTTTTATGGAATAAGAAGCAGAGGGAGTAGGATGTTCCCGCAAGAATTCCTGTCCATAGCTATGAAGAAGCATCTACAATTCAGTTGAGTCCTGAACACATACACATATCTATCTCGATGTTAGCTCTCTTCTTTATAGCATCTTTCATCAAGCATTTCAACAGTATCCAAGTGAAGGAAGCAACCGCCCCTATCTAAGGGAAAGCTCAGTGGTCCAGTGGTGTTTGAAGAGGAAAGACAGCTGTATTTTGCAGACAGCCGTTTGTGCCCTGCAGTTATAAAAATGTCGTTTGACTTGCAAACTGGATCTGGAAGTCGTTGATGGAGAATAAACGGAGCCATGATGTCATTCCTTTTACACAGTCTGTTTTCCTGACCATAACCACACTTTAATCACCATAGCCAATGACTGGGATTCAAATTCTGCATTCTAAAACAGGGTCTCTGCAGTAATGGAAAAATACCATCACTTGTAATATTTGGGAAATGCAGTGTGAGGTTTTCGTGTGCTTTTAAAATAAAACAAAAACAAAAAAGCACAGCAAACATCTGCTTTCCATCAGCAACAGCATTCTCAGCAGGGGGAATGGATGCTTCTCCTGGCGTTGAATATGCTGAAATAGCCACAGAATGAAAATGTCCTAAATTCTCACTGTGTCTGTAAACCAGTTATCTATATCTAGCCTATTCACCCCAAGTGCTCTAGGGAACTTTCGAGAAACACAAACTAGCCAATCCAATCAGGCCCAGGAGATGCAAAAGGTGTAAGTACCAAAATACACTCATAATTCCAGTTCGCTTAAACTACATATTAAAATGCACTTAGGGAATATTCCTGTACAAATCTTCTACTTCCAGTTCCCACATGCTTTCATGTATAGGGTTTTCAGAAAGATCTGTCATCTTCACAGCTTGAAGACAAGGTTCAGGGTTGCAGGTCTGAATGACTCCCATCACCATCACATATTTTCCTAGGACCAAAAAAAACCAAAAAAAAAAGTAAATATAGTTACCAAATAAATCAATTAAATTTTGAAGCAAACAAGGTTCTGATTCTTCAAAGAATGTAACTACCCTAGATCGACAAAGTAAATACTTAGCACTAGACATAGAAAAAAAAGATGAAGAAATAGTAGAGATCAAAATTCCAAAGCAGAGGGTAATCAAAGCAATGAAGTAATATAAGATATGTAAAGCACTTGCAAACCTAAAAGCAGTATACAAATGCTGGCTATTATTATTATTAGGAAGGAGGTGGGTGTAGAGGAGCCTAGGAAGAAAACGCAGCTGGACAATGTCAGTATCTTTAGTTCCAAATTAAAAACAAAACCCTAATAGTCAATCCTCATGCAAATAATGACATGCTATGATGAAAAAGACTTTGACTATTAAGGTATACATTAGAATTAGATGGGATCTTATGAAAGTAGAAGAAAATCCATGTCATCTAATATAATGCTCCTTTACTGACAGCCGTGGAATAGCCTTAGAAGAGAAGAACCAACCCGTGGTCTCTGCAGATGGGACAATCTTCATCTTTGCAGGGCGTAGGGTAAACTTCCCTGACGGATCCACAGAGAGCAAATCCAATTTTCCTTTGACAATGCCAAAAAAAGCTTGGCAGGCAGCACCATTCTGGTCCAGATTGCACAAAACTGATATCCTGCCACCTTCCACTTAATCCCAGACCACTCACTGGGCAAACTAAAATAAATCAACAAGAGGGCAGTCTGCCATATTAATGATCTAATGACATATTAACCACTACCCTCTTCCCAATTCCTCAGAGAAGTGGTCCTCCTTGAAAGCAAAACTTGGCTGATCTAAACCACACAAAACTCAATTGTGTAAAAAACCCCAAACAGCATGAAGGACAGGCAAGCTGCCAGGCCTTGATACATGCCATAGAGCTTCTGTTTTTGTTTTTTGTTTTATCACATTATCTCCATCCTCCAGGACTGATTTATATTCTTGTCCCTAAGGCTATGATCAAAAAAATCCAGGTAGATTCAGTCTTAGGTTCTCTTTTCTTGACCCTACCACAGGTGGTAGGTTCTCCACTTAGGCCATAACACCCTAGTCTCCCAAGAGGCGTTCAAAAATTCTAAATCTACATCTGCCGTACTTTTTGCATGATTTGGAGTTGTGAAGTAGAATGATTGATGACCCAGAGAAGAGAGAAGTCAAACAGGAAGACAGAGAGAGAAGCTCTCAACTGACAGCTATCAAGCTGTTAAAAAGCAGAGGCTTTGATAGGGGCCTTGGGCACTCTCAGGAGAAGAAGGTTGCCCCAGGGAAAAAGTGATGCAAACAAAAGGTTGTTATTGAGTCTTTCTTTTTCCCCCAGTCATGTCTGACTCTTTGTGACCCTATTTGGGGTTTTCTTGGCAAAGATACTGGAGGGGTTTGACATTTCTTGCTCCAGCTTATTTTACTGATGGGGAAACTGAAGCAAACTGGGTTAAGTGACTAGCTCAAGGTCACACTGATAATAAGTGCTTGGGGCCAGATTTGAACTCATGACGGTGAGTCTTCCTAACTCAAGGACTGAAACTCCATCCACTTCAATACCTGGCTGTCTCAAAAATAGATAGACCCGAACAACTGGCAAGCAGCAAGTTTCTAAATAAGGGAGAAAGAGCCCAAATGGAATTCCCTGGAGAATTGCTGGAGATTGAGTATGACTATAAGCTCCCCTGGCTTTGGGGGCAAGAGTAGTTATTTATAAGCAATCAAGAGCAGTAACTCTAAGATAGATTGCATACAAACCCAAAAAACATCTGAGGCTCCAAGGAAAGCAAAGAGGATGGTCAAAATTTGTACCCTTTTAATCAAGCCATTTATGCTATGCAGTTGCAAGGTGTTATTACAAGGGTGTTATTTTGAAGATTAATGTTTCTTTGATTATTTTTGGTTTGTTTTTCACTTTATCTGTTTGCTGATGAAATCCTGATTCCCATGGGTTATTTTAAGAGTATATTAGAGAAAAACCAAGTACTTAGAAAACAAAAATAAATCTTGAAAAAAAATTCTTTTATTCTATAAAGAGTGGCCTTAAGTGTATTAACTATTAAAAATCAATCACATAACTGAAAAGTTGGTTTGTTGTTAGTTTAGATTCAATCACTGAATTTCTCCAATGACGAATGATACACAATCTGTTTACTGTCAATCTGTCCTGGTAGAATTTGTATAAAATAGGTTTAGCTTTTAGGAAGTAAAATGATTTCATATTTATGTACCTCTGTCCATTAAAAAAAGAAAGTCTTTTTAGTTTTAAATCTTTTAATCCTATGAATGGCCTGGACAGAGGGGAGGGAGGTTCAAGAGAACAGAGTTCTAGTTCCATCTCTTTCCTCTTTGAATATAAATTATTTCCCTTCTGGGCCTTTCTCATTAGTGAAATAAAGGGGCTCATTGATTTAGAGCTGGAAGGAAACTGAGGCCCAACAAGTCACAGAATCATAGATGAAGAATTGGAAAGGACCTTAGAAGTCCCCCAGGGTCACACCCTGACAGATGTGGGATTTGAACTGAGTTCCTCTTGGATTCAGATGGAGCATTATTTCCACCACATCATAGGAAGACGCTTAAGTTCCCTTCCACCTTATAAGAACAATTGCAACCAACATGTTAGACAAGTGCTTTTGCCTATATGATCTTGTAGAACCTCACAACTTGCCCAAGACCAAGGGGTACATTAAAATCCAGGCTTCCCTCATTCCAGTCCCTGCACTTTACTCCAAAGCATGCATCCAGATGCATGGACCCAGGTTCATAAATTTGGCCCGGGAAAGGGTCTTAACGGTCACTGAGTCCACTCACTCTCATTTTATTGATAAGGAAACTAAGCCTCAGAGAGGTTAGGTGATTAGCAGAGGCCAACACAACATAGAAAGCTTCAAGCCAAGGTTAAAACCCAGCCCTCCTTAACACCGGCTCCAGAACTTGGAGATCCGTTTATAGATTTATAAATTTGGCATTGTAATGGGCCATCTTAAAGGTTATTGAGCCCAATTCCTTAATTTTGCAGAAGAGGAACCTGAGGTTCAGAGAGGTTAAGTGACTTGCCCGGGGCCACACAGCAAGTAAGTATAGAACGCTGCACCTGAACTGAAGCCTTCCTAACGCAGGTCTTTGGCTCAATCCTTGGCTCCACGTGGCCAAGTCTAGCGCACACCGGGGACCGCGGAAGGTCAGGCTGGGGGCGGGGCCATAGGGGGCGTGATCAATGTTGATTAGGGGCGGGACTAAATGGAGGCGTGACCACCGCCGAGAAGGGGGCGGGGCCAGAGGGGCGGGGCGGTTACCTGGAGCCAGGCAGGGCTTCCCCTGGGGAACGCGCTCCAGGCCCCGCACGGTGAAAGAGCCGCTCGGGTCCCGCAGCCGCGCCCAGCCGCCCCACTCCGCCGCTTCCACCACTCGGCCCTGCATCCACACGGCCGCCAGCTCCAGCGGAGCTCGGCCCTCCGGCTCCCGGACCAGCTGCCAGGCCCCGGGCCCGCCTACGGCAAAGCGCCGCAGCTGCCCGGCCAGCAGCTTCAGCGGGGGCGCCGTGGGGAGCCGCACTGAGGGGCTCGGGCCCGGGCCCCGGCCCGAGCCGGCAAAGAGAGCGTCAGACGCCATGGCTCCAACCACACTCTCCCGCCAGCTTTGACGTACGGCGCTAATGGAGTGCGGCTCCACCAATCAGGAGCGCGTGGGCGGAGACCGCCAATGGAGAGGGCCGGGAGGCGGTCTTGGGCGGAGAAGGCGGGGTCTGCGGGGGCTCGCGGTCTGGGTTATTGAATGAATGGAGGGCTTGC